GCACAATTCACAATAGCTAGACTGTGGAACCAACCTAGATGCCCTTCAATGGATGAATGGATAAAAAAAATGTGGCATTTATACACAATGGAGTGTTACTCTGCATTAAAAAATGACAAAATCATAGAATTTACAGGGAAATGGATGGCATTAGAGCAGATTATGCTAAGTGAAGCTAGCCAATCCCTAAAAAACAAATGCCAAATGTCTTCTTTGATATAAGGAGAGTAACTAAGAACATAGTAGGGTCGAAGAGCATGAGAAGAATATTAACATTTAACAGGGATGAGAGGTGGGAGGGAAAGGGAGAGAGAAGGGAAATTGCATGGAAATGGAAGGAGACCCCCAGAGTTATACAAAAGTACATACAAGAGGAAGTGAGGGGAAGGGGAAAAATAATACAAGGGGGACAAATGAATGTCAGTAGAGGGGGCAGAGAGAGAAGAGGGGAGGGGAGGGGAGGGGGGGGGGGGGGGGGATAGTAGAGGATAGGAAAGGCAGCAGAACACAACAGACACGAGTATGGCAATATGTAAATCAATGGATGTGTAACTGATGTGATTCTGCAATCTGTTTATGGGGTAAAAATGGGAGCTCATAACCCACTTGAATCAAATTGTGAAATATGATATATCAAGAACTATGTAATGTTTTGAACAGCCAACAATAAAAAATTAAAACAAAAAAAAAAGAATGAATCCGGGGCTCGTGTTATGGCTCAATGGTAGAGCACTCGCCTAGCACGTGCGAGGCCCTGGGTTCTATCCTCAGCACCACATAAAAATAAATAAATAAATGAAATAAAAGTTAAAAAAAAAAAGAATGAACCCAATAGAGTTTTTATAAGAATGAAAAGAAATAATATGTATAAAGGGCTTTGCATGTATTGCTGTATTATAACACACTCTTTCTTCAACTCTCCCTTTACTGTTAGGTAATGGTTTCTCAGTTGGATTTAATGTTTTCTTTCTTTCAATGTATTTGCCTCTCTCTCTCTCTCTCTCATACACACACACACACACACACACACACACACGTTTATGTATATATATGAAAAAATGTGTGTAACAGGTAATTTCTGCTGTTAGATTATGTGCACTGTCTTCTCCAAATTTTTGTTGTTATGAGGATGTGATGATTGCTCTAGTCTTTATTAAAACAGGACTTGTTCTATTCTGTCCTGGACTTCCTAATCATTTTATCACCACAGAGACAATAAATTAGCCTTGTATTTTGGCTAACTGGGACTCACCTCTTTATAGAAATGACAGAGGCTTAAAATTTAGAGTCCAATTCAGTGGGAACAGATTTGTCTTTTCAACATGGCAAGAGCAGGATTTTGTCAGTAGATAGAAATTGATGGAGGTAGGATACATTGGAGCAGTAAAGGTGGCTTCTTTTTATTTTTTAATTTTTTAAATTTATTTTTTAGTTGTAGATAGACACAATATCTTTATTTTATTTTATGTGGTGCTGAGGATCGAACCTAGGGTCTCACACATGCTAGGTGAGAGCTCCACCACTGAGCCACAACCCCAGCCAAGGTGGCTTCTTTATTCTAGTGGAGTCCTATCCTTGTCCTGCCATTCCCTATGCCTTTCCACAGGTACAAACAGTTGAACAAGGTGAGTTTTATAACATAGACCAATGACAATCAGTGACAACAGGAAAGAAGAGGATTGGGTAACTTCTTATAATGCTCTGAGCTGTGAAATTGGAGCCAGAACCAAGTTGAGCACTGCAAAGCTGTCTCTGCCTGCCAGGTGATAGCTAAGCTGCCACTTAATGCAGTACAATACCTTCTGGTGTTTCATTTGGGTGGGGAAGCGTGGGTTACAAGAAAGAACTGAGAATTGTTGGTAAAGAAACTGCTTCCTCTTCATATACCATTTTAGCATCCCTAAAGTGTTAATTGGATTGTAGTGTGTGCACCTTATTTATTCTGTATTCCTCCTGTATGTTTCAACACAAATCCGCATCTACATGTTCATTTCTCAACATTTAAGTGCTGAAATGCCATGAGAATCATTTATTCTTTTTAGTACTTTTGAGAAGGTATTACTTTGGCTTTACTTTAGGGTAGTATTAGGAAAATCTTCTGATATTGAGAGTTGAATGATGGAATCTTCTCTGAATTTTATTTTTATTTATATTACAATGAATTATTACTCCATTTTCTCTTGATCCATAAATAAAATGTAGAACAGCTGGTATCTATTCTAGTTTTGACTCATACATTCTGAGTATTATTTATGTTGTTTCTTTGTATTTTTTTCTTGCCCCATTTTGGTATGCAGTGCAATCCCTGCAAATATTTTATGTCTATTCTGATGGTGGAAAATTTTAAAAAAGTATTTTTTAGTGGTAGATGGACACAATACTTTTATTTTCTTTTTGTGGTGCTGAGGATCGAACCAGGGCCTCCCTCACACATGCTAGGTGAGTGCTCTATTACTGAGCCACAACCCCATCCCCTGATGGTGAAGTTTTCAAGTAGTTATTTATGAATACATTCTTAACATCACTTACAACCAGGCCACAAGAATATATGGAGTACCTATGAAGGGAAATTTAAAATAGAATCTTTTATTTCAAGGCAGTTACAATCAGGAAGAAATGTTGGAGGAGCTAATAGAGAAACAAAGAATATAGATGGTAATAATATATAAAAATTTATATTTCCTCCTGAAGAAACCCATCGTTATGGTAGGAGGAGAGATATGTCTGATTCCTGGGTTAGGTGACAGTTCTTAGGGAATGTTTTAATTAATTCTTCAATGTCCAGTGCATTAATAATGTGTTTTTAACTCTTCCTTTCAACATGCCAATTGTGATATCTCTTTTTTTTAAAAATATTTTTTTAGTTGTAGTTGGACACAATATCTTTGTCTATTTTTATGTGGTGCTGAGGATTGAACCCAGTGCCTCACACATGTGAAGTGGGTGCTCTACCACTGAGCTACAGCCCCAGCCCAATTGTGATATCTCTTATGTATAACCAGTGATGTGAGTTGCATTAAAGTATCAAAAATGTGAGTGTGCGCACACACACGTATATACATATGTTCCTTCTGCAAACTGTACTTGTTATGATTTTAGAGAGATTCCTAATCATCAATCATGTGCCAGAGGTTTATTGGATCAAGTGCAGTTTTAATTTTGTAAAGCAAGTACGTAGCTTCACAGATGTTCATCAATAGGTGATTGGATAGACACATGATATGTTTGTAGGCTGTAATATCATCATTTAGGAATGAGCTAGTTGTTTACATGCAATGGAATGGTTGTGTCTTGAAAATTCTGGGAGCAAACATACATTGTATGGGGGCTGGGGTTGTGGCTTAGTTGTAGAGTGCTTGATTAACATGCGCGAGGTACTTACTCAGCACTATATAAAAATAAAATAAAGATATTGAGTCCACCTAAAACTAAAAAAAATAAGTATTAGAAAATACATTGTATGATTTCTTTTGTAGGAAGTCCTAGGACAGGTAAAGTTAACTACTGTTGAAAGGGATCAGAACAGTGGTTGTTACTAAGGATTTTATGACAGACTAGGGATTGTCTGGGGTGAAGTATGAGGGAGCTTCTTTGGTGGTAAACTGATGGGGTTGTGGTATATGATTGTGTACATTTGTCAAAACAGATCAAACTGCATATTATCTTGAATATTGCACTGTGTGCAGATTACATCTACAATAAAATGTACTTTTGATTTGAGTTTGTAGGATAATTGAAAGTGTGGCATTAATTTTTTTAAACAATTTTGTTATAAGAGCTAATTGATAATAGAGTTTCTGAATGAGAAAAAAATAACACTTTTTAAATTCTTTAGAAATAGTTGTCAAAGAGGAACTTTGCTTCATTTTGTCCAAATCCATCAGTATTGTTTATATTATTTTATACCTGTTTAAAGATTCAGAAGTATAAAGTATCTTTTTGGTGCTAGGATAGAAGAAACATTTTTAAGGTCAGAAAATGGAAAACTAAGATTATAATACTCCATATGAAGGAGTGAGTCATAATTTAATAATTTATTCTCAAAAAGGGGTAACACTAAAGATTTTTGCTTTAACCAATTATGTGCGTGTGTGTGTGTGTGTGTGTGTGTGTATATATATATATATATATATAAAATCTTTGATGATTGTATATGAAAAGCAAATGCTTCTAATTAAAATATGGAAGCATAATAAATTTTAGGCTCCTAACATTAATGTAAGTTAATTATAGTTAAAAATGCATTCACATATGCTTACATAGGTTTGAATGAGTCCTTGGATAGAAATTTCACTATTAAAAGGACTACAGTTAATTGAATGTTATGTAAGTTTTAGAAAGAATAAGTGGGTGAATACTATCAGTTTTGCCAAAAAGAATTCATAGTATTTTCTGTCCAATACCCAATGCTTTATTAATGTGTTTTTAACTCTTCATTTCAACATGCCAATTGTGATATCTCTTTTTTTAAAAAATATATATATTTTTAGTTGTAGTTGGACACAATATCTTTGTTTATTTTTATGTGGTGCTGAGGATCAAACCCAGTGCCTCACATGTGTGAAGTGGATGCTCTACCACTGAGCTACAGCCTCAGCCTAATTGTAATATCTCTTATGTATAAATCCAGTGATGCAAGTTGCATTAAAGTATCAAAAATGTATGTGTGCGCACACACACGTACTTACATATGTATAAAGCTAATGTGAATAAATTAGTTTGAATAACTTAAAACATTTTCAGATGAAATTTATTTGTCTTTAAATACAGCTTGAATGATTGAAATAATGTATAAGAAATCACACTTTTTAGAAAATTCTTCTCAAAGTTTTCTGTAAAAGCACTATTAAAGGATTAAATAAAGAATCTGACTAAACTTCTTTTATGTTATAACTTTGATATGACAGTCTTCTATTTTTGTATAGGAAATATATTTTAATTGTATGCACAATTTGTAAAGGCTTATTACTGGAGAATATTGCATATTTTCTACCCTGCAGATCACTCAGGAGGCTGGGGAGTTTATGATCACTTTCCCGTATGGCTACCATGCTGGTTTCAATCATGGTTTCAACTGTGCAGAGTCTACAAATTTTGCTACTGTCAGATGGATTGACTATGGAAAAGTTGCTAAATTGGTGAGTTATTCCTCAAAATAAAGCATAAATTAACTGTGTATTCTTGTTATAGTAGTGAGAAACTTAGGATAGTGTATAGCTTTTATTTCTTTTTCATTATTCACCCTGTGTGGTTCTCCCTGCATTCATTTATTTCAGACTAGATAGCTTATTTTACATGGACTGAATTATTACTTGTAGCTATGTTTTTCTGCTTTGAGATTAATATGGAGCAATTTACCCTGGCAGGTGATTTTATGCAATGGATGTTTGGTTTCACTTATAAGGCCACCAGCTGGTTTTTTGCAAGATTTTCTAGTGGCTCATGTTAGGTAGACTTGAATCTCTCCTTGCTAGAGCTCACTTCATGGCTTAGAAAACAATGTACAGAAGGAAGTGACTGATAAAGTTGCAATAACAAGAGGCTGAGTGAGGATAGTAAGGAGAAATGAATAAAACTGCCCTATTGCAGAAATGGATTTGTTGAAAGTAATGATATAGAACATAACTTAAAAATATATTTTCGTGTTATATTTAGGATATAATTTTGTGTCTTTTTTCAGCATATTTAATTTAGTTCACATACTATATATTTTTATTCACAAGTAACAATTTCTATTAAATTTAATTACTATCCCCTGCCGCATTAAATACAGGACATTGTCAAACTGGTAACTGTTACTATTAGGTTTGCATCCTTTCCTGTGGCTTTGAAGGCAAATGTGCAGCTGGTAGAGAGCGGCTTCTAAATGAAACCTTGTTTTACAGTGTATATAAAGTTGACACAGATTCAGTGAAAAATAATAAATAAAGCTTATGTGGCCTTATCTTTACTACTATATCGTACAGCTGAATATTATTAATTCTACATTGATAAAATAAGTTCACCATTGGGTGAACTTATTCCCTTATATTCAGGGAAGATAACTGTAGTTTCAATTTATATGTGTATTTAGAAAATGGCATAATATATTAAAATATAAATAAAATTATAGCCCTTTGGCTCCCCAGGAAGCATTTGAATGAATTCTTGGAATAAAGGAAGCTCCTGCTATTAGTAGACTTTTTTTCTCTTCTGAGTAATTTCTATTTATTAGGGATGATTTAGAAAGGAACAGAATTGAATTACTTCTTTCCATTATACATCCTATGTATTATAATAAGACTAATAATAAGACTCAGTGTATGTATCTTGGCCAGCTACTGCAGTGATTTTGTAGAAATGTAATTCTTGCATCTGCATTGAAACAATGTCCTAGTCACGAGGTTATAAAAAGATGTTATTTTCTGGTTTTCATCTTTAATCATTGACATAATAAGTAGGCTATTCAGTCACCAGAAAAATTGCTTGGTGGTTGTTTACTACAGATTTCAGACCTTGGTTATTGTGGGCTGGGGATATAGCTCAGTTGGTAAAGTGCTTGCCTTGCACGCACAAGGCTCTTTATTCAATCCTTAGCACCACAAAAAAATATAAAACAGCAACAACAACAAAAGAAATAGGTTGTGGTATTGGCTGAAATAGCATATTACAGCATCAGGGAGAAGCCAGGGGCATTGGGATTGAGTTTCTGTGTGTCTATGTGGAAGGAGAGGCAGAGTGGAGTGCATCTTACGGGGAGAGGATGAATAGTGGTCCTCTTCGAAAGTCGAAGGACAGAACCTATCACAACTGTGATGTTAAGAAGAGGTACACAGTGGAGGAAGTGGCAGGGATCTCAAGCCCAACATCCTCCTATGTTTAGCTTTATAACATAAGAGATGTCACTTATATTTATTATAAATGTAATAAGTGTACATTTATTATATATAAAATAAAAGTACCTTTGTACCTTAAAGATTTGGTGTGAGGGGAAAATCTTGGGAATGTCAGTGTCCACTCAAATTAGTGAAGCCTGTTTTTTTTTTTTTTTTGAATTTTATTTTCTAGGAATGTAATATTTAAAAGTACAGTGCAGTTTTGGCCAGCTAATTTTAAATGGTTCTAATTGCATGTGTTTGTGATATTTTTTCCTTTGGTGTTGTCTCTACCCCTCCCTTCCTTTTGACGAGATGTTGCTGTTTTGAGAGTATATTACTACTTTTCTGTTGCTGCTGTAGCAATTTACCATTTGTAGTGCATGTTTTCTCTCTTAAGGCCACAGTTAAGTTTAGTAGTTTAAAATAATATCCATTTACCTCATTTTTTGTTTTGTAGGTTATAAGCCTCACACCAGTCCAAAAGCAAGGTGTTTAGAGGGCTACATTTTTTGCTGGAGATGTTGGGAAGAATCTCTTTGCTTGCTCATTTGGGCTGTTGGCTGAATTCACTTTCTTACAGTTGTAGTAGTAGGGTCCTATCAGCCAAGACTTTGCTCCTGAAGGCCTTCCTCAAATTCTTGCATTTTGTCCTGTACATTTCAGGGCAAACAGCTTAGGAAACACCCCGTGCCTGCCCCCTCCCCCTTTTTTAAATTTAATATATGCAAGGTAATATGTCCTCACATCTCAGGTGTTAGGATGAGGAAGGACATCTTTGAGGAGCTGATCGCCTACCACCTAGAGTACCAATTAATAAATGATATGGAGATATGCTAAAAGTCTACTTTGAATAATGTAATCAATATTAGTTATCTGCATAAAAACAAAAACCTGAACTTGTAACATGTAATTGAGTGTCTCATTAAAATATCCTATGCTCTATTAAATTATACTCTGAATGTGTTATCTTGGTTGTTCTTAGTTAATTTTCTTCCAGATTTTGGTAGTTTTTATTATTCGGCACATTTGACTTCTAAGTTGGAATCTTTAGGTAATCTTATGAATTTACTGTATTGTGTGACTGTGTAGTTTTTAATCATGGAAAAAATTGTACATTCATCACAAATGTATGTAACCAAAACTGATTAAATGTGTGAATTCATTATGAGTTATGCTAAACAGATCTTTAATGTGGAGAATGCCCATGTTTGTTAGTTTGTCTTAATTGTTGGCTTTCTACAATTCTATAAAATTTTTTATGGGTACTGGGGATTGAACTCAGGGGTACTCCACCACTGAGCCACACCCCCAGCCCTATTTTGTATTTTATTTAGAGACTGGGTCTCACTGAGTTGCTTAGTGCCTTGCTTTTGCTGAGGCTGGCTTTGAACTTTTCCTGCCTTAGCCTCCTGAGTCCCTAGGATTACAGGCACTTGACCAGTGAGCCACACCCCCAGCCCTATTTTGTTTTTTATTTAGAGACTGGGTCTCACTGAGTTGCTTAGTGCCTTGCTTTTGATGAGGTTGGCTTTGCACTTCTTCTGCCTCAGCCACCCTCAGCCACTGGGATTATAGGCTTGCTCCACAGGGCCTGGCCCCTCTCCAATTCTAAATGGTAAATATAAAAAGCTTATTATTTGTGATGATGGGTTAAGGTTTTTATGAGTATTGTACAAATATTAGCACTTTTTTATAGTTGAGTTATGGGTCGGGATAGAATGCCACCTCCTTTACTTGCCACATGGGATTCATTTGTATAAAAGCACGTGATGAAGTGTCCATTTGTGATGTAATAGTAATTGATTATCGTGATACATTAATGGGGTCTGTATACATTATACGTGTACTTCATTCATGTATATAATATGAACTATAATTTTATATATTGTAAACTAAAAGTTTAATTTGGTGACTCAGAAAAGAACTATTATAAAAGTCTATTTTTTAAATTTTTATTTTTTAATTTGTTCTAATTAGTTATACATGACAGTAGAATACATTTTGACACAGTGTACATAAATGGAGCATAGCTTCTCTTTCCTCTGTTTAAACATGGTGCAGAATTAAGCTGGTTTTGTAATCATACATGTATATAGGGTAATAATGTCTGGCTCATTCCACTGTTCTTTCCATCCCCACGCCCCCCCTCCTCCCCTCTGCACAATCCAAAGTTCCTGTATTTATAACCCCCCACCCCCATGCCCCACAGAATAGCGTTTGCTTATCAGAAAAAATATTTGTACTTTGTTTTTTTGGGGGGTTGATTTATTTTACTTAGCATGATATTCTTTGCCTGTACATGCCATAATTTCATTCTTTAAGGCTAAGTAAAATTTCACTTTTTACATATACCACAATTTCTTTATTCATTAATATGTTGAAGGATACCTAGGTTGATTCCACAGTTTAGCTATTGTGAATCATGCTGCTGTAAACATTGATATGGCCATGTCACTATAGTATGTTGATTTTAAGTCCTTTGGGTATAGACTGGGGAGTGGGATAGCTGTGTCAAATGGTAGTTCCATTCCAAGTTTTCTGAGGAATCTCTGTACTCCTTTCCATAGTCGTTGCACCAATTTGCAGTCCCACCAGCAATGTCTGAATGTACCTTTCCCCCACATCCTATTTTTTTTTTTTTTGTGGTGCTGGGGATTGAACCCAGGGTCTTATGAATGCTAAGAAAGCACTCTACAAACTGAGCTATATCCCCAGCCTCCCCCACATCCTTGTCAACATTTATTGTTGCTTATATTTTTAATAATTGCTATTCTGTATGGAGTGAGATGAAATCTCAGTGTAGTTTTGATTTGCATTTCTCAATGAACATTTGAACATTTTTTCATATATTTGTTGATCAGTTGTATTTCTTCTTCTGTGAAGTGTCTGTTCAATTCCTTAGCCCATTTGCTGATTGGTTTATTTATTTGCTTTTTTTTTCTTTATATATCCTAGAAATAAATGCTCTGAGGTATGTGTGTTTAGTGAAGATTTTTTTTCCCTTTCTGTTGGCCCTCTCTTCCCACTGATTGTTTCATTTGCTGAGAAGAAGCTTTTTAATTTGAGTCCATCCCATTTATTGATATTTGATTTTACTTCTTGCCCTTTAGGATTCTGATTAAGGAAGTCAGTTCCAAAGATAATATGGTAGAGATATGGTCCTATTTTTTCTTGTATTAGGCACAGGGTCTCTGTTCTACTGCCTAAGTTTTTAATATACTTTGAGTTGATTTTTGTGTAGGTGAGAGATAGGGTTTTAATTTCATTTTGTTGTATGTAGA